AAAAATAATTACAAAAGCTAACATTTTTATTAATTTCACTAATAATTAACAATTATATAGGAATGACAACGGGGTGGGTTCAGGGTGGGGCACCCCATCCCTGTCCCTGCCCCATAGTCACGACACTCTACTCCATCCCCACCTCGTCCCCAATGTCAGGTGGGTTCAGGGCAAGGGAACCACTCCCCAATGTTGGGCGAGTTTAGGGGCAAGGCACCCCACTCCTCATCAAGGATGGGAAATCCTCGAATTTCTCCGCCCATCCCTAGTATTGGGCGGGTTCAAATAGTGGTGTAAATTGGGTCGTGTTGGGCCGGCACGACACGACCCGCATGTGGCCCGCACAAAGTGTGGGCTGTGCCGTGCTGGCCCACGGGGCGTCCTGGGCCCCGTATGACCTTAATGTATTAGCAGATGAGCTAGCTAAATCTGGATTCCTAGGGAACTAAATGTATTAGCAGATGAGCTAGCTAAATCTGGTGACACTTGGATTATTTGTATAGTGACAGATCTCTGTCTGTGTAGGCACGTATGACCTTTCTTTTTGCTTTTCTGATGTACATCTTCTCATATACTTCCCCTTTTTAGTGACTGAAAATTATCTTTTCTAAAAAAAATGCATGCTTGTTGCAGTTAACACATCAGGGATTATTGAAGATAGAGAGCATTAACTTTACAATTTTATAACATAAGTAAGTAATCATATAAACTACCAAAAATCTAAAATATGTGATGTGGGTCATGCGGCATGGGATTTTAGGGTGAAACCTGCCTTGTGAAGAGGGTTGAGAATATGGAGGAGTCCAACATGGAAGGTTCCTAGTTTGTTTAGAATTTTGTTAAATAACCCAGATAGTAAAACCATGCCAGAACAGTTTTATCCACAAATAAGGTTTGTTTCTCATGCAAGTAACATAACCAAGATGATTAGAGACCCTTATAGATCAAACTAGAATCACGAACCTTGATTCTGTGACTAGTATTCTTTCTAATTCTTTGGATGAATATTACAAATTCATATCTATACTTAGCCATGCATTTTTTCTAAACAAATAATTATATAATTGAATCCCAAATTTTGATTCAATAAATGAAATTTTCGATCAGAGTTTCAACACTCTGATTTTAACAAAACTCCTCTTTGGATAAAAAAAATTGCAATCATGTCTCTAAAAGGTCTCACAATTAGTAACATACTTATGGATGCTAATGCATGTCTGGCTAAATTTAAGGATGACTCCTTTCATTTGTCCAATAAATCCAGCTTATCAAAGTTGCCAAGCTATGATGCATACTGACTAAAGTCTGAATACAGTATCAAAGTCTGAATGCAGCTTATCAAAGTTGCCAAGTAACATATATTAGCCATGCCATAATTTTGGTTCACTCTGATTTTCAGAATACGGTATCAAACTGTATTTATTTTATCGCATACTATTTACTTAACTGTAGCACATTTGAATTTTGAATGGTAAGGCCTTTGATGATTCGACAACGCAGAATGACAAATTGAAGCTTTTGAAACCTGGATCTCTTCAGCACCTTGGAGAAAATATGCTTGCTTTTCTGCTTCAGATTGCTAGGTCATCTGATCTTGTGAATGGCACAGCTATGCAAACCCGAGAAGATAATGACCATGCTATATTTTTTGATATTCTGGTATTGAGGAACTATTAAGACTTCAATGTTATTTACTTTTCTTTTCATGGTTGGAAATATTGTACTATGTCATAGTTAAAATTTTCAATTACTTATCAGGGAACTTACATGGTTGTGTACCGTCAACGTCTTGCAAGTATGCTCCAAAATTCAGTGATAATGCAGGCGCTTCTAATCTGGACAATGTCATTGCTTATGGGTGGTTTTCCAGCTGCAGCATCATTGGGTTTATCATGTTTGAGTGTTCTTCTGATGTGGATATTTTCACTAAGTTTCTCTATTCTTGTTGCCTTCCTTCTACCACTCATTTGTTCTTCACCAGTTCCCTATATTGCAAATCCATGGTTAATCATTGGCTTATTTGTTGCACCTGCTGTTCTTGGGGCCTTAACTGGTCAACATGTGGGTTTTCGCATTCTTCAAAAGTACCTTCAGCATGCTTCATCCAAGGGAGGGCAGAAGAGATCGCATGTTGTTCAGGCTGAATTGATCAAATTGGAAACCGAAAGGTGGCTCTTTAAAGCTGGTTTTGTCCAGTGGCTTGTTCTTCTGATGGTGGGAAGTTTTTATAAAATTGGATCTTCTTATTTAGCTCTTGTTTGGTTAGTCTCACCTGCTTTTGCATGTAGGTTTGCATCCTGGATTATCTCATCTATTTACAACTTTTGAATCTTATACTACATCATATGGCTTCCCTAATTCTTCTGTTTTGACATTGGAATATCCAGATGGGTTGATTGAAGCAACATTATCTCCTGTCCGATCACCAAAGCCCCTCAAAATTGCAACCTTACTGCTGGGTTTGACTGTTCCTGTTTTAGTTTCTGCTGGTATATTTATTCGGTTGGTAGCCACCATGACTGGGATGATGGTTCGATTTGATAGGTAAGATCTCCAATATTCGGTTGGTAGCCACCGTGACCTCTACCCCACATGTGCTGGAAATATGGGGGTTTGGTATGAATTTAGGCATTTCATACATGGTCAATTCTAGTGACAGTGGATGATAAGGAGTGGCTACATCAACCCTTCATGTATACAAAAAGAAATTCTGGATAGCAAATACAGAAATTCTTTTTCATATTAGTTAAGAAGATAAACACAGAGTATAAAATTACTTTGTTGTAAACTCAATGCTAGGTGGGAATAAATGGCATCAAAATATTGACCAGTGACCCTAAAACTCAATAATTTAATGTGATACTCAAAAGTAATTTCTCATGTAAATACTAGTTCATGACATCATGGGACAAAGAAAAACATATCTGGGTTTCTAGATCATTGAGTACTATATATTTAGTAGTTAGTACTATATGAGACATATGGACATACACAGATAAACATAGTTGCAAATGATGATATGTTACATATAATGATAGTTTCTTTATCTACAACATAAATATGTTGCAAAGTATTGCATTTTTTCAAGAAGGTGAAGTATTGAATTTATTGATTTGTGTTACTGTGTGGCCAAAGTAAAGCAAGCATGCACATCAGGTGGAGGGAAATTTTCTAATTTCATTTATTTGATTGGGATAAAGTTCATTCTTTATGATCATCTGGCGGTCTAGGCCTTGGAAAGTTGCAAAAATTCAACTATTTGCCTTGGAAACCGAGGCCCATTTAGAGTTGTGAAAGTGCTCATAAACCAAGGCCCATTTAGGTGAAGTATGAACTCCATATGTGAGTTCAGGGATCAACTTGCTGATGTTCTCACAAAGGGCCTTCCCTATTCGCAGCACAATGAGCTATGTGACAAGTTGAGCATGATTGATATACACAACCCAACTTGAGGGGGGAGCGTTGGGATTCTATAATAGTTTGTGCTGCAAGGGCACTAATGTAACTTCCTTTTTATTGCTGTAACTTAAGTATAAATAGAAAGGAGGTGCTGCCAATCCAGGTTTTTGCCTCTCCAACTATTTTCTTCTCTTCTCCTCTCTTCTCTTATCTTTCTCTTCTCCTCTCTTCTCTTATCTTCCTCTCCTTCTCTCTTTTCCCTATTGTTTTCTAGTGAATAATAGGTTACAACTTAAAAATTTCTTTTGAACATAGTCCTTGCTGTCCTGTCTATAGTCACTTCGTTGTCCATTCCTAGCACCATATGTGGTTAATCATGCCTGTGTACACTATTTATGTATTCAAGTGCCTTCATTTTGCAGCAAAAAAAAGTACCCTTTTCATTTAATCTAGGGCATTGGGTCACAGGATGCATGGTGTAGTCTGGGACCCCAATAACTTATTATGTTTAATTTGATTAAAGGATTGGGTCCAACCACTGAGCTGACCCAGCTGAAGATGATAGCTACAGTAAAAATCAGTGTGAACTGATGAACTATAGCCATCTTCATGTTATATTAAGCGTATTTCCTTGAATATAGCATAATTGTTTCAACCATTGAATTTAATAAAACAAAATGTACAGGTGGAAGAATCCCTTTGGGCTGGCACTAGGTGGCAATTTGTTCTATATATATATATATATATATATATCTTGTTCCTAAGACCATACTTTAACATTTTTTTTCTGAATATTCTAGTTTGATCATTTATACTCATCTCCAGGAGATTGAAAGAATGGGTAGTAACCATATATTGCATTTTCTGCAGGAACCCCGGTAGCACACCTGAGTGGCTTGGAAGCATAATGGTTGCTGTACTTGTTGCTGCTATTATTTGTCTTACATTGGTTTATCTTTTTTCATATGTTCACCTTTCAGGTCTTAATTGTCTCAATGAATTTATTAATTGTTGCGCTGATATTTCCTATGTTCGTATCAATGCGTGCTATTGTGATTTTTCTACAAGTTTCTTTGGAAAGCAATGCCATCAATTGTCTTAGGTATAGAAGAAAACCTTCTCAGGGTGTATAAAGAGATGGTTTGTTGAACAAGATAGAATAACAGAAACAGCTTTATAACGCCACGGAGTTGTCATTGTATAACCCTTCTCTTGGGTATGCAAGAAATCAAAAGGGGTATTGTTGTTATGATCTAGTTTCTGGGAGTCGGTATGTTACTATAGATGTCACCTTTTTTGAGTCCACACCTTTTTTCCCGGGGGGTTCTTTTCAGGGGGAGTGTTTTGGAGAAGGAAGTGAGCAATCTATACCACTTCTTGTTCCAGCTCCTTTGTCTACTCCAGTGTTTGACCTACCTATCTCACCCACTTTGCCACCTCCATTGTGTCTTGTTTCTTAGTGTTTTATACAACAACGCCTACAGCAAAGGGAGGTTGATTCCATAGTAGAGGAACCCACGTCACTCCCTATCGGCCCATTGGAGATTCCAGGTTCGATTGACACAGACCCAGGTATGCCTCTTGTTCCCCTGATTGAAGACAACTATGCAAGAGGAAATAAAAGCATAATTAAAAATCATACATGGGAGATTGTGGATTTGCTTGATGGCAAGGAGATAGTTGGATGTAGATGGGTTTATATAGTGAAGTACAAGGTTGATGGGAGTATAGAAAGGTACAAGGCGAGGCTGGTTGCAAAAGGGTAAACTCAGACTTATGGCATAGATTACTTTGAAACTTTTGCACCAGTGGCAAAGATGAGTTTAGTTCGAATTCTTCTATCTCTAGCAGCTACATACTCTTGGCCACTCTTCTCAATGGGGACTTGAAGGAGGAGGTGTATATGGACCTTACGGTTGGCTTCTACAATAATGTGGAAAAAGGAAATGTATGCAGGTTAAAGAAATCTCTATATAGTTTAAAGCAATCACCCAAAGCTTGGTTTGACAGGTTTAGAAGTGCATTGGTTGTATTTGGCTACACTCGAACTCAATCTGATCATACTCTTTTTGTGAAGAGGAGGGTGTCACTGGTGTCGGTTTTGATAGTGTGTGTGGATGAAATTGTAGTCACAAGAAATGATTTGAGTGAGATTGATACATTGAAGAAGAATCTGCACAAAGCGTTTGAGATTAAGGATCTTGGGGAGCTGAAGTACTTTCGGGGCATTGAAGTGGCAAGGTCCAAGCATGGGATCTTCATCTCACAGAGGAAGTATGTTCTAGATCTACTACATGAGACAGGAAAACTTGGGGCAAGGGCAGCTGATACACCTATTGATCAGAACCACAGGATAAATGTTTCAAAGGGTGAACTAGTGAAGGATTTTGGAAGATATCAGAGGTTAGTGGGGTGGTTGCTATACTTATTATGTATGATACGACTAGACATCTCTTATGCAATGAGTGTAATGAGTCTATACATGCATGCTCCACGAGTTCAGCATTGAGAGGCTATTGACAAGATACTTTCCTATTTGAAGGGACACCTAGGTAGAAGCATATTGTTTGTTAACCATGGACAATTGAAGGGTGTCTAGATGATAGGAGATCTACATCAGGAGTTTGTACTCTTGTTGGAGGTAATTTAGTTTCATGGAGGAGTAAGAAACAAACAGTTATGGCAAGGTCAAGTGCAGAAGCTGAATGCAAAGCCATGGCACATGGTGTTTCAGAGCTCCTATGGATCTTGTTAGGAGAGATTGGAGTTGAGGTTGAAGAACCTATGATGCTATATTGTGACAATCAGGCAACAATTAACATTTCCCACAACCCAGTTCAGCATGATAGGACGAAGCATATAGAAGTGGATAGACACTTTATAAGGGAAAGTGTGACATCTGGAGAAGCTTACTTTCCATATGTTGCATTTGACTTGCAGCTTGCTAATGTTCTTACAAAAGGAGTTACAAGAAACAAGCTGAAGCATGATCTATGCAAATTGGGAATGTGTGACATTTGTTCCCAACTCGAGAGGGAGTGTTGAGTTTTGGGCTGATATAACATGTTTTTTATTTACATAGCATAGTTAGGGAGTTATTGGGCCTTAGGCCCATTAGTTTATGTTTTAAGTTAAGAGTGTTTTTAAAATCTCACAAGTAGCCGACTTACTAAGGGCATACTTGTCTGTGTATTCTCTTTTATTTATGAGTATATAATCTAATGAAAGGAGCGGCTAAACCTAATTCTAAGGTTCTCCCAGTCTCTTCTATCTCTTTTCTCTCTCTTCCTCAGCTAAAACCCTTTCTTCTCTTTCTTTTCTTCTTTCTTTTACAGTTTTTATATCAAAACAAGTTGTCCAAACTTTTCTACTTTCTCAAAATAAGATTCTATACTGGAAGTTCGTGAAGGTAGGCTGATGAAAAAAATACATGAAGATTGAAGCAAAGGAGTTTCTTTTTGAGGAGCTTAGATTAAATGGTTAGCTGAGCTTGAAAATCAAGGAAGCAAAGAAAGGGTTGGTGTTGTTAGAAGGTTTGAAGGTGATTGAAAGGCTTAAGGAGTTTGTGAAAGATGCAAGTAACAAAGGCAAACAAAATAGCTGGAAAGATTCTCTCTCAGAAACGGGAAGAAGGTTTGTAGTAGAGTGTAAGAGAAACACCAAAGGCTTCTTCATTTCTTTGACAGAATTTTTTGGCAAGGGTAGGAAGCAGATGGTCTGCTTCCCAGAGGAAAGGAAAAATCAGGGCTGGAAGGCAATTCATGGAGTATTATGTGAATTGCTGCAACGGTTGGGTGCTAAAAGAGAAGTAACAGAAAGAAGGAAGAAAAGTAGTTCTAATAGTCTGGAGAACAATAATAAGCAAGAGACTCTCATAGTGACAGGTAGGGCAGGTAAACATAGATTGGGAGTAAACTTACAGAGAGGAGATTGGGAAAGTAAGCTGATATTTAAAGCTTCAGTTCACATTTTAGAATGGAGGAAAGTTGCAGATGTGTTAACAACATGCTTGAAATTGAAAAACACATTTATTTTAACACCATTTGAGAAAGACAAGGCTTTGCTGGATTTGCTTGAGAATAGAGTAGAAGTTGAGGCTCTCAATATCCAAGCTGAACTTGAGAATCTCACATTATCAAGATGGTGTCCGGGGTCAAACTCCAAGGATCTCTTTGTTGAAGATGGAGTACTGGTGCGTCTTTTAGGCCTTCCCTTTCACTTGTGGAAGCAAGAAATTGCTGAAGCCATTGCTTTGATGTGTGGAGGATCATTAGGAGGTGTTTTTTGGGGACATCTCTTTTCAGCTTCCATCTTATTGAACGGGGTAAAACCTAAGGAGATTCCTCGGAAGATAGAGGTGCGAGTTGAAGGAAAATTTTACTCAGTATGGCTGGCTTCATCCATTGAAGTTGTGCTTTGGAAAGAGGCTCGTAGGGAGGGAGATGAGAAGGTTGAAGAAGAAGAATTGCGTGGCAATAAAGGTTGGATGGTTCAAACAAGAATAGATCTATACAGAGACTCTTTAGGTTTTGAGCAGAAAATAAAAGAGAAGAAGAAAAAGAGAAGAAGAGAAGAAGGAGATAGAGAAGGAGCACTTGTGGGAGAAGCTTTGAAAGAAGAGAATGGTTCGAGTGCTTAAAACAACCGCCCCACTCCTTAATTTGTATACATAGTTTCCTAATTGTAAAAGAACTTTAATGCTTGCATGGCAATAAAAGATAAGATTAAAATAAAACTAATCCTAGATAAGGTAAAATAAAACTTATCCTACTAGGAAAGTTGATCCTAATCAATTAAATCTAAGTACATCTCAAGGTGTCACACGAATACTCTTAATGTGGGGTCCACAGTTTCCTACACTTCCCCTCAAGTTGGGTAGTAGATATTTATCATTCCCAACTTGCATAGATCTTCTTCTAACTTCTTTCTTGAAACAGCCTTGGTGAGAAGGTTTGCAAGCTGCATGCCAGAGGTGATGTAGGGAAGGCATACTTCTTGAGATGTAACCCTTTCTCTGATAAAATGTCGGTCCACTTCGATATGCTTAGTTCTGCCATGTTGTACTAGGTTATGGGCTATATTGATGGCAGCCTGGTTATCACAGTACAATATTAGGGGTTTCTCATAAACATTACCCAATTCCTCAAGTAATGATCTCAACCATAGAATCTCAGCCACACCATTCGCCATGGACCTATATTCAGCTTCAACACTTGAACGAAAAACAACACTTTGTTTCTTACTCTTCCAGGAGACCAGATTACCTCCTACAAAGGCACAATATCCAGAGGTAGATCTTCGGTCATAAACACACCCAGCCCAATCAGCATTTGTGTAGACTTCTATCTTCATGTGGTCATTTTTCTTGAACAAAATGCCTCTGCCTGGGGACCTCTTCAAATATGCTATTATCCTTTCAACCGCAAGGAGGTGAGTAGTTCTAGGAGAGTGCATATACTGACTAACTACACTGACTGCATAACTGATGTCAGGTCTTGTGAGGCCAAGATAGAGAAGCTTTCCAACTAACCGTTGAAACATAGCTTTATCTTCAATAGGCTCTCCACCCTCTGTACTAATCCTGTGGTTCTGTTCAATAGGTGTGTCCGTAGGCTTAACTCCCAACTTTCCTGTTTCTTCTAGCAAATCAAGAACATACTTTCGTTGAGAGATAAAAATCCCATGCTTGGATCTAGCTACCTCAATGCGCAAGAAGTATCGTAGTTCCCCCAAATCTTTTACCTCAAACTCTTGATGGAGTTGCTTAAGAGACTCAATTTCACTAGTATCACTCCCAGTTACTACAATATCGTCCACATACATGGCAAGCAAGGTTACGAAGGAGCCCACTCTCTTAATAAACAAGGTGTGGTCTAACTGAGCCTGCACATATCCGAACCTATCAAGGGCTCGTCTGAATCTGTCAAACCATGCTCTGGGGGACTGCTTTAGTCCATATAGAACCTTCTTCAACCGACAA